CGAGGCTATTTGAACCACCCCACCGCCGGCACTCAGATAGTAATCTTGGGCATAGCATTTTACCAAATCACCTCATTCTTTGGGGCACACGTGAGGAACACAAATGCGAACAAGCCTGAATGGTCCCCAGGACAATATGCAACTGAAAACTCACACCCCAGACCCATGCTATGCCCAAGATTACTATCCGAGTGCAGGCGGTGGGGTGGTTCAAATAGCCTCGGCTATCACCTCATTTTGTCCGGTCGTGATGGTCAAGTGGATTAAGGCGTCTTGTACATACCAGTTGCGTTGCTTCTGGGAGTATGGGTTCGAGTCACTTCTGGGGTGTGAGTTTTCAGTTATATATATATATATATATATATATATATATATATATATATATATATATATATATATATATATATATATATATATATATATATAAATATATGCTTGTCAGTATGCTTGTCAGTGACAATATATAAATGTAGTTCCCCACATTGGCACCAGAGGTGGTTCCCTCACAAACTTTAAAAAAAAAAAAATATATATATATATATATATATATATATATATATATATATATATATATATATATATATATATATATATATATATATATATATATATATATATATATATATATATATATGTCGTACCTAGTAGCCAGAACGCACTTCTCAGCCTACTATGCAAGGCCCGATATGCCTAATAAGCCAAGTTTTCCTGAATTAATATATTTCCTCTGATTTTGTTCTTATGAAATGATAAAGCTACCCATTTCATTATATTTGAGGTCAATTTTTTTTATTGGAGTTAAAATTAACGTAGATATATGACCGAACCTAACCAACCCTACCTAACCTATCTTTATAGGTTAGGTTAGGTTAGGTAGCCGAAAAAGTTAGGTTAGGTTAGGTTAGGTCGGTTAGGTAGTCGAAAAACAATAAATTCATGAAAACTTGGCTTATTAGGCACATAGGGCCTTGCATAGTAGGCTGAGAAGTGCGTTCTGGCTACTAGGTACGACATATATATATATATATATATATATATATATATATATATATATATATATATATATATATATATATATATATATATATATATATATATGTCGTACCTAGTAGCCAGAACTCACGTTTTGGCCTACTATTCAAGGCCCGATTTGCCTAATAAGCCAAGTTTTCCTGAATTAATATATTTTTTCTAATTTTTTTCTTATGAAATGATAAAGCTACCCATTTCATTATGTATGAGGTCAATTTTTTTATTGGAGTTAAAATTAACGTAGATATATGACCGAACCTAACCAACCCTACCTAACCTAACCTAACCTATCTTTATAGGTTAGGTTAGGTTAGGTAGCCAAAAAAAGCTAGGTTAGGTTAGGTTAGGTAGGTTAGGTAGACGAAAAAACATTAATTCATGAAAACTTGGCTTATTAGGCAAATCAGGCCTTGAATAGTAGGCTGAGAAGTGCGTTCTGGCTATTAGGTACGACATATATATATATATATATATATATATATATATATATATATATATATATATATATATATATATATATATATATATATGCAGAATAACCACATATGAAAAATAGAAAATGCTTAACGCGTTTTCGGCTAATTCGCCTTCATCAGAGCAAAGTAGGATCCACTTTGACGTGGATTCAAAGTGATTCTACTTTGCTCTGAGCAAGGCGAATTAGCCGAAAACGCGTTAAGCATTTTCTATTTTTCATATGTGGTTATTCTGCATACTTGGATCAGTGTTTTTGTGATCATTGTTGCATATATATATATATATATATATATATATATATATATATATATATATATATATATATATATATATATATATATACCTGCATAAAAATGTCGTCAACTCCTTATTCCACGAAGGCTCTTAGCTGCCGTTTTGAGCTCGGGAAACAGAATGGTGACATTCCGCAATAAGTTCCACTTGCAAGGTGTCTTTAGTGGTAACCTTCTTTTGCGTCTAGAGGTCGAAATAGTCGTCCAATAAGATCTCCAACTCCATTTTCTGGGCCATCTCAATTGGTCTGGACAAAACGTGACAGAATATACCCAGATTTAAGAGAGTTATTTGGTTCTCTGTGAGGTTGATTCCAGGAAGGTTTAAGAAGCCATCTCTGGGTCGTAGAATCGCCATAGGTCCTACAAATAAAGTTGTCAGTTTCTTGATGATCCTGGATTCGTTGCTGTGGCGATGTCGATCTGCAAGAATGTTAAAGTGTTGGTCGATTTGAGTACGGAAGTCTTCACCGAAGTTGGTGTGACGCCATTGGTCTGTAGCATGAAGTAGTTGCACTTTCCTATCGCTGGAAGTTGGAAATGGTCTCATGCTCTCTACCCCCCGGCCTCGCTCATGCTCTCTACACCCGACCTCCCTCATGCCCTCTACCCCCCCCGGCCTCCATTATGAACTCTACCCCCAGGCCTCCCTCATGCTCTCAACCCCCCGGCCTCCCTCATGCTCTCTACCCCCCCGGCCTCCATCATGATCTCTACCCCCAGGCCTTCCTCATGCTCTCAACCCCCCGGCCTCCCTCATGCTCTCTACCCCCCCGGCCTCCATCATGATCTCTACCCCCAGGCCTCCCTCATGCTCTCAACCCCCCGGCCTCCCTCATGCTCTCTACCCTCCGGCCTCCCTCATGCTCTCTACACCCGACCTCCCTCATGCTCTCTACCCCCCGGCCTCCATCATGATCTCTACCCCCAGGCCTCCCTCATGCTCTCAACCCCCGGCCTCCCTCATGCTCTCAACCCCCCGGCCTCCCTCATGCTCTCTACCCTCCGGCCTCCCTCATGCTCTCTACCCCCGGCCTCCCTCATGCTCTCTACCCCCGGCCTCCCTCATGATCTCTACCCCCCGGCCTCCCTCATGCTCTCTACCTCCGGCCTCCCTCATGCTCTCTATCCTCCGGCCTCCCTCATGCTCTCTACACCCGGCCTCGTCTCGACTATCACGACACGTCATTATCTAAAGGCCAACTGCTGTAACCAAAATTATCTATCTAAATAAATATGGAAATGTTCGTTTGTACATCCACAAATCTCCGAAAGTTCTTCACCGATTTCTTTGAAACTTTCACAGAATCTTCCATTCACATCCGAGCGGGTTTTATATAGGTACTATATACATGTCTCACCTGTGACAGGAAAAAGCATGCTTTTTTGAAAATCAGTACCATCAGTTGAATGTAGGTGCAGCACATGGTGTAATTTCCCAAAGTTCTTTACCAATTGCTTTGAAATTCTGACACAACGTTTCATTCGAATATGCGTGTATTTTTATATTCATCCTATATAGATGCCACACCTGTGACAGGTAAAAACATTTTTTTTTTCAATAACAGCGCTATCTGTTGCACTTAAGAGCAACACTCACGATATACTAAATATGTTACGAATTCAATTTCAATGTCTTCGATTGCATTGACAAATTAAATTTTCATATATTTCAATTTGTTTTAATTTATATTGAATTTTTTTGTTTGACAGTTCTTGGGAATATAGCTATGTTGTTTACCATTCCATTGATTTCGTAAGTATAAGTATAGATGCCACACCTGTGACAGGTAAAAACATACTTTTTTCAAAAACAGCGCTATCCGATGCATGTAAGAGCAACTCACGCTATACTAAATATGTTCCGATTCCATTTCAATGTTTCCGATTTCAACAATAAATGGAATTTTCATAGATTTTGAATTATTTTCACCTTTATTTAATTATTTTGTGTGACATTGCATAGCTTTATAGCTTTGTTGTTTACCATTCCATTCAGTTCGTTACAATAGTTTATTTGTTTTATTTTTCCTTTTTTTAATTTCTCTTTTTAATTGTTTTTCTCGTATTTCAGTAATGAGAACATCAGATCATTTAATGTTCCCAATTTTCTGATGGGAACATCAAATCATTTGGGAATGCATCGGACGTGGGAGTGGGGAATGTTGGGGAGGACGAGGGGACGGAACTTGGGGTTTGTGGGGAGGACGAGGGGTTCGGGGAGGGGGTAATGGTGGAGAGGATGAGGGGACAGGGGAGTTGGGGATGGTGGGGATGAGGGGACAGGGGGGGAATGGAGATTAGTGGGGGAGGGCAAGGGGACAGGGAAGTGGGGGATTGTGGGGGAGAACTAAGGGACTGGGGAGGGGAGAATAGTAGGGAGGACGAAGGGAAGGGGGAGTGGGTGATGATAGAGAGGACGAGGGGACAGTGGAGTGGGGAATAGTTAGGAGGATGAAGGGATGGTAAATGGTGGGGAGGACATAGGGATGCGGGAGGGAGGAAATGGTGGGAAGGACGAGGGGAAAGGGTTGGGGGGGAATGGTGGAGAGGACTGGGAGACAGGGGGAAGGTTGCTCTTGCTCATGCGTTGCTGAGCCACAGCAACGAGTGGCCAGGTACATCTAGTATTAAATAAACATAAAATAACTAAACTCTTCTTGTCACCCAAATACACAATTGTTAACAAACATTCAATGTCTTCCAGAACTGAAAGACAAGAGCTACGGAGAGAGGTTAGAATCATTAAATGCATTAAACATATCACTGAATACAAAGTATTAACGGGAATCGATAAAAAAGATAAGGAAGAAGTTATGAGACCTTGAACTTCAAGAACAAGACGTTAAAGATTTAAGCTAACTAAACAAAAGTGTCACATATATATAAGAATATTAACTTTGGCAAACAGAGTGGTAGACGGCTGGAACAAGCTAGGCGAGAAGGTGGTGGAGGCCAAAACCGTCAGTAGTTTCAAAGCGTTATGACATAGAGTACTGGGAAGACGGACACCACTTTCGTAGCTCTCACCCTGTAACTACACTTCGGTATCTACACTTAGGTTAGGGTTGCATATGTCAATAACAGTGTCTGATGCATATGTCCGGAACAGGTTATATTTTGTATGTCATCCAGAGTAACTATAGATGCTATTTTTTGTCGATTATAGGTTCATATAATCACATCCTCTTCCTGCAGGAGAGCTGTGGGGGGCGCTGTTGGTGAGCGTGGTGGCGTGGGGCGTGAGTCTGTGGTTCTTTCAGAAGGCATGGCAATGGGTGGCTGGAGGCCGTTCTGTGGACATCACCACCGCCCTCCTGTACGGCTGGGGAACACTCCTGAACCAGCCTCCCTCTGATCCCTCCATCAGCATTTCTGGCCAGGTAGGTATCTATAGTAATTTGAAATCAATATCTCCCTCAGTTACGAGGAGCAGAGTGAAAGTTAAGGTGTCAGTACTCAGACAGGATGTTGTGTCAAGAGTGCACTCACATACCAACCCGTCCTCTTAAAATTACATTGCTTCTCGCTCGTTTGCCCGAATGACCAAATGTGGACGTAATTTTAAATTAAATCGGCTCACGAAAGTTACGTACTGTCCCGTTTTCTGTTGTGAGTCCTCTGGTTTATTCGGTTAGGTTAGGAGAGGAAACTTTCAATTAACGGTTTTCAAGACGTTTTGAAACATTAGAACTTCCTGCCCTCCTAACCTACCAGAGGACCCTGAACGTACTGTTTTGAAAAAAAAACACATCAAAACTTAATTTTCATTATTATTTTTAATTTTCAAATTATGTTCATTTTCGGCAAAACAGACGAACGGCCAAATCCAGACGTAATTTGTAAGAGAACAGGTTGTCATCCAGATGGCAGGGGATTGACGATCGAGGAGCTAGGCAGAGGAGGACAAGTGTTAGTCAATAATAAATAGTCTATCGGATATATCAGAGATTCCCGACAGAGAGAGTGCATCTTCTGCCAAACTGTCACAGAAAGCCATTACTTCACTATCTTCTGGAATGTGAAGCAACCAATGACCTTAGAAGAGCTTTAAGAGTTCCTGAATCATGCAGTGGCCACCCTGAAGCCATCAACACAGCCACTCTCCTGGTCAACGGACACCCTCATAAAGACTGTGAAGCAGTATCCTCCCCCGCGATAACTGCTTGATGGTTAAATGCAACCTCAGAATACTGAGAAAAAAATTGTACCACTTACGGGCTATTCATGCCCGTGCCACCTCTTGGGTGGCTTAATCTTTATCTATCTATCTATCTATCAGAGATTATTACAAGGAAGGTGAGCCAACATGCTACCTCACATGAAACAGCCAATACTACTATACTTGTTCCTCCTATTAAAATATTTTAGAGGAACCTACTTTCCACAGCCTACAAAATGGATATCTCCTCCTGGAGATAGAAGATCTCCTCCTGGAGATAGAAGATCTCCTCCTGGAGATATTATTGATAATATAATTATATATTATAAATATACTAGCAGTACCCGGACATGCGTTGCTGTGGCTCAGCAAGGCATGTGCGTTGCTGAGCCATAGCAACCTTCCCTGTCCCCCAGTCCTCCCCACCATTCCCCTTTCACCTATCTCCTCAGCCTCCCAACCATTTTCCCACCCACCATCCCCTCGTCCTCCTCATCATTCCCCATTCCACCATCCTTCTTCCGTCCAACGATTCCCCACTTCCCTGTCCCTTTGTCCTCCCCACCATTCTCCATTCCGCATCCCCTTCGTCCCCACCATCCCAAACTTCCCCCGTCCCCTCATCCCCGTCGTCCCTCATCCTTCCCCACCTTTACCCCCTCCCTAGTCCCCTCGTTCTCCTCACCATCTGTCACTTCCATCTCCTAGTCATCCCCACCATTCCCCACTTCCTTGTCCGATGCCTTCCCAGATGGTTTAATGTCTATATCAGAAAATTAGGAACATCAAGTGATCTGATGTTTCCATCACTGAAATATAAGAAAAACAGTTAAAAAATGAAATGAAAATATGACAAAAAAATAAACTATACTCGCGAAATAAACGGTATGGTAAGCAACACAGCTCAATTTCATCGCAATTCACACAAAATAATTAAATCAAAATGAAAAAAATAGAAATCTATGAAAATTCAATTTATCAATGCAATCAGAAACACTGAAATGGAATTGTAACATATTTATTGTAGCATGTGTGTTGCTGTTAAATGCAACCGATGGCGCTGTTTTTCAAGAAAAGCATAGTTTTACCTGTCACAGGTGGGGCATCTATACATAGACTTACGAAATGAACGGTATGGTAAACAACACAGCTCAATTCTAACTCAATGTCACACAAAATAATTCAATAAAAAATAAAATAAATCGTAATCTATGAAAATAAAACTTATCAATGCAATCGGAACCACTGAAATGGAATTTGTGACATATATAGTATAGCGTGCATGTTGGGATTATGTGCAACAGATAGCACTGTTTTTAAAAAACGCATGTTTTTACCTGTCATAGGGGGTGGCATCTATATAGTAAGTATATAAAAAGATGCACCTATTCGAATGCTTCGTTGAATCAAAATTCCAAAGCAATCGGTGAAGAACTTTCGGGATTATAGCCTATGTTGCTCTTACGTCCAACAGATGGGGCTGATTAAAAAAAAAAGCATGTTTTTCCTGTCACAGGTGAGGCATGTATTTGGTAGATATATATAAAAAGACGCCAAGGAATCGGAGGCAAAGAGACAGAGAAGGAAAGCCGGTAGCCGGGAAGACAGACCAGAATCGGACTTCGTTTGTGCTCGGTGTGGGATGGACTGCCACTCTCGGATTGGCCTTATCAGTCACACCAGACGCTGCACCAGGATTGACAACTAGGGCGCAACTCCATAGTCTCCCGAGACTGAAGGATGCCTACTACTACTACTATAAAAAGACGTGCCTATTCCAATGCTACGTTGTGTCAAAATTTCAAAGCAATCGGTAAAGAGGTTTAGAAGATTTCCCTCACATGAAAAACACAGTTTTTCAGAAAAAGCATGTTTTTTTTACCGTCACAGACATGACATCTATATTATATGTACATAAAAATCTGCTCGGATGCGAATTGAACGTTGTGTGAAAATTTCAAAGCAATCGGTGAAGAACTTTCTGAGTTTTGCGGTTAGCACAAATGAACATTTCCATTTTTATTTATATACTAGCAGTACCCGCCACGCGTTGCTGTGGCTCAGTCTGGTTAAATGGGAAAGAAAGAAAAGAGAAAGCACACGTTTCTAACATGTTTAATATCACAATGCTTGTGGGTATACAATATTTTTTGTTGTTCCATTGTCTGTGGAGATATAGAGATTGTCTGGTTTGCCGACTCTAGAACACGCAACATATAATTGTTCATGTAAGAAGCAATCCGTGTCTAGATATTCCTATTTAGAATGATAGGAATGCGAGAAATGAGGACATCTTCACCTTTGAAAGGTCCCGTCAAGATTGTTACGACGTTGCTTATTATTTTTTGTTTTACTGCAAGGCGCGTGGTGTTGCAAAGTTTTGGCTGGTTGGTATTTTGCAACATGATAATTTGCAAGCCGATTTTCAATTGCAGTAAGTGTGATGGTATCCCTGGCAGATCGAGTGAATTCAAAAATTCTGTTGGATAATTAACCGCTTCATCTGCTTCCTCAACAGTGTCGACGGACTTGTATGTGACTGCCTCGCTTTGTATGTTAGACTGAATAATATTGTTAAGGTCGTAGACATCTTTGTTCTTGGCCACAAGAATACCTCGTTCACTCAGCCAATCGTGATTCTTATAATTGGTTTGAATATTGGGAAATACTTTTTCATCCAATTCTTCTTATGACGTCACTAAATTGCAGAAGTTATGAGGCAATGAAATTCGTCCTGAGATCAGATCAACCGGCACGTTTACGTTCCCAATTTCCTTAAATTAATGTCAGTATATCTCATCTGATGGATCGTTTTGGAGTGGCTACATAACTACACGTATATTTCTAGTTACTTTAAATGCGTTTACGTGGCGCCACAAAGTAGAGTATTTCAGGCAGGCATTTATTTCGTCCGCTGGTGTCGATCGAGGAATTACAGGTAATGTTTGCCTGAAATCTCCTGGAACCAATATTAACGCGTTCCCAAATGGTCTGATGTTTCCACGATTTTTTGTGGGGCATTGTGCATTCATACCAAACAATAAGTTTGCATTTCTGCAATACTTTTCCCAGGCTGGATGCTTTGGAAATGTTGCACGTGGGAGTTTCCATGAATTGCATGTTCAATGGCGATTTCAAAGCCGAAGTAGCAGTTCATCCACCTGGTAGCAATTCCAGACGATGCAAGAGCTAAGGTTATGCCATTTTGGGATCGAAATGCTGCCAGAATCAATCTAATTAGGAATGTTTTACCAGTTCCTCCTGGCGCATCTAAGAAGATTTCTCCAAGCCCGTTATTGACAGTTTGAGTTATTTGATTGTTAATGCCTTTTCGCTCAAGCGTTAGCTTAGGAATATTTGATTAAACATACAACAACAGATCACTCGTGTTGTAATTTTGTTCACGACGCAATTCTACATCGAACGAAGCAGCAGCAGATCAATTCGGTGATGGCATTTCCAATTGATTGAGAATTTTGTTCGCGATTTCTAAGCACAAGTCTTCAATCATTATCAACGCTTCGTTGTAGATTTTTGCTGTAAAATCCACGGTCATATATGAATTTTCCTTGCATATTCGACGGATAATATCTTCAGCCATATGCCATTTACATTTCTCCCATAACTCTGTTGGAGATGAAGGAGAGCCGGTGGTCAATATGATTGCAAACAATGCACGAATTTGATTAGGATGTGACACTACGGGAAGTTGCATGTGTTACGCCGTTGACAAATCTCAATTGCTGGAAAGACGTTGGACCGGGCACATTTACCAACAGCATGTGAAGAAAGAAGCATTCATCTTGATTGGGATGCATGGTGTACAGTCTGCCTATCGTAGTTTATTTGAATATGCCAGGTTGTTCGTCACCTCGCTCTTCTCGTTTGCGTTGTTCAAATAATTTTCTACTAGCATTCCATGTGTAATACGTAGGTACTTCATAATACAGCAGTGTTTTGGCAAACACGTCATTCTGACATAACGTGAAGAAAGCAGTTAACGCTGTAGCCGGTGGATTCACAGCTGTTTGTTGCACATTTGCAGCTGTGAAATAAACGTGTTATCCATTTTCATGTTTTTTAAAACTAAAAAAAATACTAACAAAATATTTCAATTCAAAAGCAGATCAATCGACACAGCTCAATTTCACCACCAATTGCATTAAAAAATAAGAACATTTAAAAAAAATGAAAAACAATGAAAAAATAATCAAATAAACT